TCTAGGGTTTGGGGTTTATAGTTTAGGGCGAGAGTGATGTGGATGTGGGCCTTAATTAGAAGAGTTAGGGGAAGGCGGGCAGAGCAGAACTCTTCTCCTGAGGACTTCACTTTGGTTGTCCAACTTCCGAACCCGTTTTCAAGGATTTAACACTGCGGGCCCAACCGACAAACGAAACTCTCCGTCCATGGGCGTATACATTGTTACAGTGATTCGTCAGTACACACGCACTGCCGTCGCTGCTCCCTCCTTGTTTTGGTATCTTGCAGGCAGTAATTAGCGGCCAGGACAGAAGCCCTCCGGACGGACAGGTTTACGGTTTCGGGCTCGAGATGCAAGGCTTCGGAAGTAAGACTCAGGAGGACAAGCTCCCGCAAACCCGCTCTTCGAAGAATCACCTGGTCCAGCCTGGTGCCCGCTGTACCCGGCGGAGCTTGGCGAGATGTCAGGGCTCGCGCCCTCCGCAAAGACAGGGCTCTTGGCAGCGGTAGAAGACTTCGGGATTTCGGGGTTGCGAAAGGAGCGCCAGCAAACGATTTCAGCGATTTGAAGCGCGGAGAAAACGTCAGTGCAGTCTGCAGTTACATACAGGGTCGGGGATCGACTTTGGGGGTGTTGCGCGTCACCCTTCCACGGGCGATGATTGGCTGATTGATGTGGAGTTGGGTTCGATAAAATTCAACACATACTGTCCGGGCTGAGGAGCTGCTGGTGGTAAGGGCGTGCACACTCGGGGAAGCCGAAAGACGTTCGGGCTACTTGGGCACACTGTCGAATGCCTGCGTACTGACCCGAGCCAGCTGCTCGCTCTTGCAGAGGCTGAGTAGTAAATGTACTGCAACACGGCAAATGTCTCATCACCATTCGACCTGTACTGCTAGGCTATATGCCAGCTATGCTGAAGCTCCTGAAGCTATGAAGTGCAAGGCCACGTCATAAGTTTATCGAAGCATATATAATATAGCGTGTTCTGTGCCCTGCCTTCTGGCGCAGCTTCTCCGCGATGCGAGCAGCGATCCACTCCGCATCTCTTCCTCGGCACTCCACGTAGATCTTGCTTGGTGGGATGGCCATGGCGATGAGTCCTTCGGCTGTTCCGTCCTTGTCGTATTTATGGCCTGGACCCGAAGGTGGCTCAGGGGGCCAGGGGTCGCCGCACATCCTTAAAGGGAGGATCTCCAAATCGTGGTCTTGCGCAAACTTGACTTCCTTATAGGAAGAGTAAGTGGAGCTGGTCATCTCTCCGTAGTGCGAAGTGCACACGGAGAGCATGACGCCCTTGTGCTTTCGGAGTCGTCCTAGAAAGGTTGCCGTCTTCGTTCCAAAATCTCCGCCTGCACCTTCTTCTACCATCATGACAGGGTAGCCTCGATCTTTCAGGATCTTGTAGACTTGACGGAAGAGCATCTCCGTGTCTCCTCCGTCAAACCTGGCTGAGAACATGCCATCGCGTGCGCCAGATCCGTCTGGGATGCTCACCTGGCACACGCGCACTGCTGACCCACCCGGGGCACAAACCGAATTGCAAACACGACGCCCGAAGCTAACGAGCCACTGGTCACAAGAAGTAACCGCCACGAGACATATTCCTACTACCAAGCCCAGTGTTCAAGCGCGCCAGACGCTGCAGCCATCGCTTGGCTCCTGCTGCACACGCATAGCTTGTTCAACTTCCTAGTTGATGTGTGTTCATCAAGTTGCGCAACATGCTTCGACTTGAGGCCCTTCTTTCTGAGCAGCAAGGATCGAGAGAGCCCCACTGTAGTCCACATATGTTATCGTTTATAGTGCAGTAGACATGTACCAAACTGGTCTGTTTGTCGAGGCCCCTATGTTATGATCCGTTGTACACATCTTACACCCGTAATTGTAAACACATTGCAATCATTCAATGCCCATTCTGCGCTAAAACAGGTACATGGACGCTTACAGAGAAACAAGCATGCCATCGCCCCAAGCCAAGCACTATGAGGGCTTTACAGAGATGTTTGAAAGATTCTGAAAGGGTTTCGATGAGGGTCTCTTTCAGAGCTTCAAGAATTCAGGTTGAAGTCTCGAGGTTTTTTCAGGCTTCGCTTATGAGGGCTTCTGTAGGGGTCTCTGTGAAGTGTTGTTTGAGGGTTGCTGGCAGGCTTCTGTACTGCTTTCTGAACAGATGCCTATTCCAAGATTTTCGGCCAGGCTTTGTTTCAGAATTTCTTTCTGGGCTCCTATGAAAGTTTAGGCAAGGGCTTCTCTCAGCCTTCCTAAAAGGTTGCTGTTGTATACGGGTTTCTATTCTGTAAGAGGTTTCTGGTCTATAAGCGTCGATTTAAAATGTCGAAAAGGTTTCTGCGCAAAAAGAGAATCCTCCCGGCACGCTGCTCAAGATTCGTGCTGTCTATGTCCAGCTACAAGTAACATCTTTTCTGGATGCGTAGAAGCATCACTTAACGACCAGGTCCTGGAAGTTCTGTGGCTTTGGCCTTCTACGACGGCAGCGCATGCTCCGGTCGCTGCAAATAAACGGAGTATGTCCACGCAGAATAGAACCACGGTCCGAAGTCACGCAAGTCACGACAAGAAGACTGTAACAGTTGTATACGGCCAGGAGGCTTCACGAAACCTCAACTGCCATAACTGCAGCCCACTTCTTCGGATCACTTGAACCCCTGTGGTCCTTCAAGTTCACTGCAGCAGCGCTGAGACCTGCGCGGAGCTAAGGAGCTTACAGACCGTGCTCTCAGAGATTTCGGGGAAGACCGGATTTTGGTTTGGGATGTGGGGTTTGGGCTTCTTTACATGCCAAGCACGGCTGGCTTCGAAAAGTGAACTCTGGCATGCTGGCTATGTGCGCGCAGACAGTCCCTAAGACCATGCAATGTATTGCTGTGTAAAGAGGGACTTAGCTTTCTGGGTACCCTCGCGATTCAGGGTGGTATGATTCTTTTTGCTGCCTGCGTGACACAAACCAAAACCTTGGACACTGAGCTGCCCGTTCCGACTCACTCAATCTATCTGGGGCGCATGCCTTGAAATCACTGTAGGTGGAACTTGATAGCTTGGTGTGCTGAAGTTGTCAAATAACCGTAAACAGCTGCATCAACAGGCTCCATCTGAAGGCTCTCGCACCGTCGGTGCAGGAAAGCTGTTGTCCCTATCGAGCTTGCTATCGCCAGCTGCACCATGAACGTTCTGGTCGTCGCATCCTGCTCCTCCTTCCCCAGCCCCAACCACCATCACCTAGCTCCCCTTATCACCTGCTACTACTACACTGGTTATCATCCGAAGTACATGTCGCAGGAACAGACGAGCAATCCCACTGAAACGTTTAAAAAGTCCTGCGGAAGCTTCCCACTCGATTGATCCCTTCTTGCGCACCTTACGTGGCTCGCCTACTTGCACAAAAAGATACAAGAAGTACTCTGAAGCAGCGAGAAGAAGCCTCCTACGGTCACCTGCGGCCTACGCCGGCGTGCAAGAATTAACTGTGCTAAGGATAACCTGAGCAACACCAAACAGCATAGTGTAACTCTGCACTCGTTTACAATCCCACAAACCCCTTGGGCCAAGTCCGCAAAACGCTTTATCCCGCCATGCGCTACTACACGCTGCACACCCCTACTGAGGCCCTAAAGCCACCTAAGGCCCATTTTGAATATTAACCTTTCTACATCTTTCATGGCTTGACACCTTCAACCCCAAACCCTAACCCTCAACTCTAAATCCCCGAATCCCTGAACCCTTGGGGCCTGCTGGGATTTTGATAGCGGCTCCAGAGAGTCGGGATGGGAAAACTCAACATCCTCGTAAGCCGAAAACTGCCCGCGGTATGTGGCTTCAAAGGTCTGTGGACTTAGGGCTTAGGGTTGGGGTATGATACCCGAACTTGGCCTTTGGGGCTTGGGGTTCTAGTGCCTGAGTATTAAGGCGTGATGATAGGCATCACAGGCCAACTGGACAAGCACGATTTCTTGGTACTCGCTTCTGAAAGCATAGATCGGAGTGGTAGCTGTCTCCGGTTCTAGGGATCGGTAGGGGGGCCACAGGTCTTCGGGACTTTTTGGCTTCGATGCGATAGCTGCTAACTCACATAGTGTTGTGGCAATAACTCCACTGCAGCACGAAATGGAGATGAAGCGCAAGATGTACTTGCTAATGAAGGAGCAGAACGTGGTGTCACATCGGCAAAGCACTTCTTTGCATCATGGCAGTCTCGTGTAGTAAGTGTAGTGCAGCAGGCAGAGTTTGGCACGGTGAAGGCTGACAGGAACGACGATCCCCACCCTAAACCCTATACACCCTAAACCCATCTAGACGAGAAGGTCCGGGTCTCAAGAAGCCTTCATCAAGTTATGACCGAAGTGCCAACATCGATAAAATAGGCGACGGTAAGAGTGTTTTTTTTTTTG